TTATGAGCGTAATGAAGGTGTTCACGGGAAACTACGTGGCAGTATGGACCTGTTGCTTGCCTCTAGTGGTATCGGGAACACGCCGAGGTGCGAGCTCAACCGGACTGGCCGTTTTCGAAATTTCGACGCAAAGTTCGACGGAAGATGTACCACTACGTGCATGCACGGAAATTGAGAACGAGCTCACGCTCCCTGGCGGAGGAGCTCGGTAACGAACCGACTAAATCGTCAGAAGGTTATATATTTTGCATTTTATATCGGGAAATATTAGTTTTAACATTAATGACACATAAATTATTTCTTACCGAAATCCGAAACGTTTCCTCGAAGTCGAGCAACATAGTTTCGAAAGTCAATCATCGCCGAGCTGTGTGAGGAGGTCGAACGTTCGGCGAACTTTGGTCGAAACTCAAGTTGGACAAAGGGTGGCCATGTCCCGCAAGATCGAAATGTCGAATGTCAACCGACACGACGTTCCGAGGCGGCGCCGATTGCCTCAGCCGCCCGGTGAATCGCATCGCCCAGCGAGCGACGACCGCTGGGATGGAACGTCCTGTTCGAGTGATGACGAACGAGCTCGTGTGCCGCAGAGCTTGCGCGCAGCCATCCACTTCATTTTCTTAGCAAGAAATGTAGCAATGCCGGGACAAAAGAAAGCTATTCTTGGAGGACGTCTACACCTCAAAAAGCGAACATGAGTTCACTTTCCTGCAAAACACGCAGACAGCCGGCCAATCGCGGCGAGCAATAGAAGGATCCCTGCGAATGGCAAAGCCTCAGAGCACACATCCACACACACGCACATACGAGCGCAAGTGCACACACACAGGCGCGCGAACGCACACACACGCACGCCAACACGTACGCGCACGAACACACACAAAGCACGCTCACACAAGAAGACGCCCGCGCACGCATTCACGCATGCGCGAACACAGAAATACACGCACACGTGACGCACACACACACGGACACACACGCACACACGCGTCGAAAGCGGCGTGCGCAGCGATATTAAGCAGGTTTCTCCGTCGCGGAAGCATTCGCTAAACTATCTTGTGTCGATGAATTGAATCTCCTAAAACAGGCGGATACGTTCACGTTGGTAAGCTTTTAAGACTATCGGTACACACGTGCTTGTCGAAATGTACATGTAATGCGAGAGTGCTTTCAACCTATATAAGCGATCGTGACCGATGTCTTATAGATACAGCCACGTGTCTCCAGCACCGCTCCCGGTGTCACGTTTTTCTGCCGCAGAAGCATACACCGAACTAGTTTGTGCCGATGAAATGAATCTCCAAACAGCTGTGCGTTGTTAAGCCACTCGCAGCGTTACTAAAACACTCAGTTGGGAAACTCCCATAGAGACAGCTTCGAAAAAGTGGCCCCAACCTGTCTCCGAGCACCGAGCTAATGACGAACACAACGCCACCATTTCTCCCGCAGCGGCCACTCGAGGAACAGCACGTGACTTCTATTTTGGCTTTAAGAACAGATACAGCAGTAGAGGTTACAAGGGTGCCACCCCTGTCTCCCCCGGCGGACGTGCCGCGTTCAACATCTGAAGTTAAAATGCACCTAGGTCTGGACGCGCTACCTGAAAGGCCCGCTGAGGCATGGTTGTATAAAAACAATATTAATTGTTCCGCAACACCTTGTGAACTAAAGATGATAAAAACATCACGCGCCCATCATTTGGTACTAAACTCCAATAAATTTCATACAAAAAGAGTATTTTCCGTTTGTTTTTACGCAAAAACAGGCTTTCAAAAAGCTCAAGGTGACCATAGTACAAACAAACGAAAAAGAGTGGCGCTGTTGTCGCATTTAGCTCGGTCTGGGTGGACGCCAGCGGCCCAGGTTTCGACGGCGAGTTTCCCAACTGAGTGTTTTAGTAACGTTGGCCACTCGTTTAAGACCTTCGGTAAACGCGTGCGTGCCTAAATGTATATTTAATGAGGGAATGCATTCAACCTAAGCGATGGCGCCGGAAGAGTGAAAGCTATAGATGCCTCTAGCAACGTGACACTCCTAGTGTTCCTAGCGAACCACGGCGGAAACCGCGCCATCGGGACATCTTCCTTCAAAGCCAGTCTCGACGCGAGAATTGGGTCTTGGCGAGTAGCGACTGCTGCGCTTGGTCCAGCGAAAAGTTTGCCCACGAGGAAGGCCCATCAACACAGTAGTTCGGTTGAGATGCAAATAAGGTGCCATCATCAGCTAGCGGCCAATAAAAAACGGGCCAATACAAAAACAAATGCTTGAAAGCAACGTAAGAAAACAGTTAACTCGCGCTCGTTTTTATAGCTTAAAGGTTTCGTGCCTTTATTATACAGTCCGCGTCCGTCCATTCGTTTGATCGTCCAAATCGATTTATATAGCATAAAAAAAAGGGAATCCAGTTTTTCATCGCTTCACTTTATGATGTATTCTCATTCCAATCCACAATCGGGGTCCACTATCGCATTCCACGACGAACACGAGCTGCCGCGGGACGAGCAGCGTGGTTACGACGGCTACCAAACGACCCGGCTGCGTTTGAAACGACATCGCAACCACGCAATCCAGTGGCGCGCAACTAATACGAGAACGCCAATATAGGTAACTCAATATTTTTCATTTATTATTCCAAGAATAAATAAAGTTGGATATCTGTTCAGCCTCTTTTTGCATAGCTACCGTAACGTTTTGTTGCTCATTCTGCTCGAGGGTGTCGCACGGTCCTTTGAGACGATAAAAGAGAAACTGATATTGTAAAGTGTTTACAAAATGCAGACGTAATATTTTTCCGTAATACTTAGGGACCAACGTGTTTGTGGTTTAATGAGTATAAGAAATCTAAGATCCGGCAGATAGATTTCCTTCTCATGGCACCTTCAAAGCCTCGAACACAGACTCGAATCGTTTTCCCCTTTGGTCGGTAGGCGTCCAAAATGGTCAGAGAATTCTAGATCTTAGAAAGGGGGGGAACTGAAACCACAAGAGCGTTTCCAAATCAACGACGGACACCACCTACGCAGACAGTTGTCTCGTTTCTCAAGGGAGAGGGAGAGCGGCCAGCGAAAGCTTGCGAGACACCCGCAGACGACCGACACTTTCGCCATTTTGTCGCACCTTGCATCGCCCACGCGAGTTAGAAATCTCCCGATCCATGTGGAATAAATGAAAACACTCTCGAGTCTAGGCACTCCGAGCATCCTCCGACGTGTTGATAGGACACGAGGACCGGCCAAACTCTGACGTCACACTCGTGCCCACTCCGCGTGTTCGCTCCCTCTCACTGCGATGACGTCAGAGTGAGTAGGCTTTGATTCTTCTAGGTGCTGTTTGCCGCCAACTGAACACTCAGCAGGAAACTAAATTTAACAATTAAACATCGTTTTTTTTTTCCACCTCGGCAAGTAGAAATAAAAGTTACAGAATTCCTTTTGGAAGCAGTCTGTCTTATTACGTCGAAGCTGTTTATGGCTAGGGTTTCGTGCATCTTTTGGTGTGCGTCAATAAAAACTCAGAGCGGGCTCGCACCGCCCCCTCTTTATCGTCGTTCCAAGCGCTTGCGTGCCTAGTATCCTTTCCTTCCGCCGTGTGGCGGTCCCGTCGCGCGTGTCTAGTATCCTCCGGCTCTTCGGGCGGCGATATAGTCCTCGAGATGTGCGTGCGCACCATTCGTCAAGATGAACACCGATCGAGACAATCAATGTGTTCGTTCCCTTGTTCGAAATTCTCTCATGTCTGTGTCGTGTGCTAAACAGCTTCGCTGGTCATCTATAGCTTCACAGAGAGAAATGGTTCATGATTTTTTTCATTTTTTTTTCAAGTTTTTCGGTTTTATAGTTTACTCGATGTGGCACGCACAAGTTATCTAGTCGAAGCGGTTTATCCGAGGCGTCGCTGCCACACGCTGCGCGTGCTTCGGGGTGCGCTGGGCATTCTGGGTCGGTGCTCTGCCAGCCTTACTGCGCGTGTATCATGCGTTTTGCGAGCTTCGGAGGTCGGCGCCGTCTCGCACTGCAGCGCTGTCGCCCGTCGGATGTTGATTGCGGACAACCTCGCAACCTGGAAAGTTATTCCGCCGAACGGAAAAAAAACAAATGTGGACTCGTTTGAACTGGATCCCGACTCCCACGAGAAAAAAGTGACACCACCGAAACACAGCGGCGCAAAACAGGAGTAGCCTTCAAGGTACACAGAAAACGCAGGGAATGTCCATACAGGTCACGTTTTGGAGAGGACAGCCAAATGCAGGCCACAGGGCGTGCACTGTACACACCCTAGACTCTAAAAAAAAAAAAAAAAAAAAATAGAGAGAAAAAAGAGGGATGTAGTTCTGCACTTTTTTGTCCCAAATAATACACTTCAAAACTTCAGTTCGACGTACAGCGCACTAAAGTCTAACTGACGGCTCCAAGTATCAAGAGGGGCTTGAAAACGGTGCGTTATAACCAAAATACATTTAAAAGACTACAGGAAAAATAAGGAAAAAAAAAACACTGATGTTGTGCAGTACGATGAAGAAACCCGCGATTATTATTATTTTTTTTTTTTTGTAGTCAGTGACGCGTACATTGGCTATTTTAATAAGTTGTACCACTCGGCTATCAAGCCGCGCTCGTGAAAGATTGGTATAGTTAGGGAGTATTACATGGGACAAAGGGTGTAAGACCATACACTTTTATGAGAGTGTAGAAGACGAGGCCCGCGTCGTTCCCCCTCAAACGTCATCAGAAAGAGGTCCAGGCAGCGCCACTTATCTCGGGTCCGAGTCGCCGCACGCGCGTCTCGCAGCACTTCACAACGAGCGCGACGACGGGGCGCGGCGGCGTCAAAAAGCAAGCGTCTGTCGCTTTCCCGCGTATCTCTCGTCGAGCTTGGTCGTGTTTGCCGCTTAAGGTGCGTCGGGGTACCACTAACGATGACGTAATGCGCTGGCCTTTTAGTTGGTCCACCCGCGTACAAAGAGCGGCGTAAACACACGGCGGCCAAAACAGGGCCCTCACCGCTTCGGTGTGGACGGGGTGGGCAGCAAACAAGAGGGCGGCCGCCACGCTTGCCGCCTCACTCAGGAACATCGAGGACACCCTGCGGACAGAGGACATGCTCAGGTCACGACACATCAACGCGTAAACATTAATACTTTTTACACCCTTAAAGGTGCACTAAAGACGTTTCTGAGATCGTCTGTCCTTGGTGATATCTTACGAGCTCCAAGCATACTAGAAATCGACAAATTATGCACGTACGACGTCTATTTACCCACTGAAAATGTGCAAGTTCGCGCCACGTCCCTTTCGGAGCGGAAAAATCTGGAGCACAGATTGGCTGACGCGCGCCCGTCGTCACGCCGCCGACGCCTCCGCTGGATTCTGTTCTCCAGATTTTTCCGCTCCGAAAGGAACGTGGCGCGAACTTCTATCACATTTTCAATAGGGAAATAGATGTCGCACGTGCATAATTTGTCGATTTCTAGGATGCTTGGACCCCGTGAGATAAGTTGTCACCAAGAGCAGACGATCTCAGAAACGTCTTTAGTGCACCTTAAGGGTGGGAATCAGCTCTTCCCAGGGCTAACACCCTATGGTACAGTCGCAACATTGTATTGAAGCGCTGGCGGTACAGAGCGCGTGACGTTTCAAAGTAGTACCGGTCCCATTGAAAGCTTCACCACCCTCGTTAAAATTCTGCTAAGCACGCGCGCCATGGCGCCGATTCGCCGGTTTATAACCGAACATAACAAGCTGCGAGCCTTGCTGCTAGGCTAACCTAGGGGACGTTAAACGTTTACGGGTTACTACGGCAAATCCCCATGCCCAGCGAAAGGGGCCACTACAGCGGCCCGGTCCGCAACTTTCCGAGGCGTCGAGCGTCGAGCGAGCACAGTAGGCCAGAACCAGCAACTATACACAAACACGTGGGTGCCACGGCTCTCACATTGTCCAGCAATGACTTAATCGCGATAACAAAAAATAAAGGATATTTTATAGACAATGTTAGACGTTAGCAGGGATAAACTCAAGGTACTCCCCGGAAATCCCAGGCTCAGTTTCAACCGCAGGGAGTGTTTGCGAGTAAGTTCAACGGGCACTTGTACCCGCGAGATCCCTGTAGACATGACGCGGTCCCCATATATGATACCCCATAGATCGGAGGCCACTTCCACCGGCCATGCAGTACAGAAGACCCCGCACGACACCGTGTCCCGATGTGGCCCGTGGAAAACAACCACGCAAAGGCGATCCTGTCCCTACGGGTAAATAGGGCTACAGGATTCGGGCCGAACGCCCCGTGCCCAAGGTCACGCTGCGGGAAATCCAGGAGTGACTCCGAATGTTCGCCTTCCTCGGCACAAGCTCCACCTCGGTGGTCCCTGTCGCCTTCGCTATCTAGATACAAAACCAGGTACCAGTGCCCCTTGACTGACGGATAAAACTAGGCGCGACAACCTTTGGAGCTGGTGTTGCCGACTCGTCGGAGCGATCCTCGTGCAAAGGTTCCGGAATAACTCCTACCTTGTCATCGAGAACCACAGCGCGACGGCATTCGTCGACGACGGAGTGGGACGCTCTCTAGCTGCCTTCGAGGAAATACGCCTACGTTTCGGGCAAACCTTCCTCCTGGAGCCACTCAATAAAGCACGCTTCAGACTAACGACGCTTGAGCATCTTCGTGTGTACAATCGTATACGTGTTACCTGTAAGCTCAATATTCAAATGAAAAAAAAAGAAAATAGCTCAGACGGTACCTGCAATTATATAAAAAAAAAAGACGGAACCCTTTCTATTAAGTTTGTTTACATCTCCTACAAGGTATACGAGGGCTGCAGTCAGTCATCATTTTAACTTACCAGTATGTAAAAACAGTTAAGTCAACGACTCGCCGAATTTATTGGTACATTAATTTGGAATGCAATAGCAACGGATGTGAGGCTAAACTCTAATTTCTTGTAAACACTAAAAACGCATTTTTATTTCAGAAATGTGGCCACTATATTGTCACGGGTGGTGACCAAAAACAATAAATAAACAGGAAGAAATAAACGTTTAATGGGGCGAACTTGTGCCAAAAATAAAAAGGTAAAAAGGATAATAAAAGAGCGTCGCGGGCGTCGAAGTCGGCGTAGCAGCAGAGTCGAAAGCTGGGGCGAAACTGACTGCAGATCGCCACGCGGAGCCCCTTATGTACACGTGTGGGCTTCTGGAATAATCGGCGTAGAAGGTTCGGCGTATAGAACATTCTGACCGCGAACAAACCCAACATGGTTCTCGAATTTACCAGAACAGAGTCAACAAAAATGCACCTCCGCGGCCAGGAATCGAACCCTGGCTTTCAGCATGGAAAGCAAGCGCGATAACCCTTAGACCACGAGCGCGCTGTCTTCTTGGTCAGTTGCGCTCGCGGCAATATGTCATCCAGGCGCGTAATCTAGGCATTTTCACTGGTAAGATCTTTAGATGTGCGCCGCATTGTACATTTTATTTTGTCTTTGTACCCGACTAGCCACCGCGGCTATGGGTTCAAACAATGTTCGTGCATTGTATCGAATTTTTTGAAAAATGAATAAACCTGAATATGAATTGTTGCCGTTTGTCTGAAATCGCAGGAAACACTTTTCCGTACTCCAGAAACGGTAAAACAGTCATCGACAGAACAAATGAACACGGTATCGCCTGAGCTTCCTGACAGTGCATTATCTATTGCTCAGAAAGTGGCGTTCTCGAATCGCACCAAAATGGCGGCGCCCGCAATATAATACATGGATAGAGTGCCTCTGCCAACGTTACTAAAACACTCAGTTGGAAAACCCGTCCTTGAAACCCGGACCACTCGCGTCCACCGAGAACAAACTAAATACGATAACAGCGCAACCCTTTAGCGACTAGTCAAAACATGAAAGGTCATATATACTGCCTCTGAGAAACGACACTGCAAGATGGCGCCACCGGCCCCTGCGCGACTCGACCTGAACCGATACGTCCAGACGAGCAGTTCACGGAGTGGCCGCTGCGGGAAAAAAAATGGCGGCGTTGCGATCGCCCTTTTGTTCGGTTCTCGAGTACGGATGGAAGCCACTTTTTAAAAGCAGGCTGTATGGCAGTTTCCCAACTGAATTGCTCCAGTAACGTGGGCAGCTGATGGCTCTCCTCCCTCCCTTTACCTGAGGAAGAGCAGACAGACGGCGCAGTGGAGCAGCACGTTTCCCAGGTGGTAGCCCATGGGCCTCAGCTCGTGGATCCAGTAGTTGAGGCGGAAAGTGAGCACGCACAGCGGCCGGTACGACTTGTGGCTGTGCTCCTGCCGAGAGAGAAGAAAACGCCATGGCTGATCACGCTCCGCGCAAGGAGGCGAACGTGAAGAAACACCAATGCTTAGCTCTCCGGCACCAGTACGCTGACTTCACCCCAATCTTGCTGGTGGGCCCAGCCCCCGAACTTATGAAACATAAAAGAATAATTTACCATGAGGCATTCCCTGGTTTATTGTTCTCGCAATTCCGATAATATCTAGAAGAAATGTTCCAAAAGCCTTGACGATAATAATCCCTGGAGAAGGGGAAGAAGCGCAACAAAAGACAGATTGTCCTTTGTCCCCCTTGTTCCCCTTGTCCAGGGATTATCATCATTCTTGTCCAGCTCGACTGCAGCTTTGCATTAATTGCATTATCATCATAACCGAAATTGTTCTTCATTCTCGTCGTCTCAGCAAGCGACGAGCCAAAATGTAAACACTCTCGAAGGAATGCTATTTTTTACTATATTTGCTGCAGCATCACGCGTGACGATGAGCGACGCATTACGATAAAGTGAAAGTCAATAGGGAACCCAATCTAGGGCTCGTAACGCGTGTTATCGCACTATTTGAACACGTTGGTTCTGACCGTCGAGCGTCTATTTCAGGGGGATTAGTGGACGAGTATGTTGACGCAGCTCGGAGCAAGTGGGAGCGAAAGACCGCTGCAGGGCTCAGTCTCCATGCTACACGTCTCCCTCTGAATGAGCATCGTACCGGCTTGTCGATGATCGCGAATCGCTACTGCGTGGATGCACGTTAATGACTCCAGGCTGGTCCTGCACCGGCTAAATGCCTCTACAGCGGAGACAATTCGGACACCCGTTGGCGATGACTAACATCACGATGTCTAGAAAATACACAGCACAATTACGTCCATACATTGTGGGGATTCCTGCGATCTCCCTTCCCCGATGGCTGTGAAAACGGCAGCCGGTCGGAACGCTCGGCCTCCTTCGCAGTGAGCTCCGACCTGGTCGTGAAGAGGAAGGTTCTCTGTCTCGGAGGGCCCTGCTCTCACTCCCTCCCGAGGGGAGCTTTTTCCGTTCCCCCCGCTCGGGTGTGGATCACTGCTGACAGGCAAGGAGGTTTTTCCTCTTGTTTTCCCGCTTTGGGGAGAAGGACTCGTCTGGTGACCGCGAAAGAGATAGGACGTGTATCGGCGACTTCTCCGATGCTTTCCCGCCCTATGCAGCTCTCTGGAACCCCGCGTCAAGCAGGTAAGGACCTTTCCTTACCTGCTACCAGCAGGTAAGGAAAGGTTCTCATATGCTACCAGCAAATAGTAAACTAGTTGCTGGTAGCATATGAAAACTTCTTGTCGGAACATCCGAGATCAGCACTGTCCTTTATTTTCAGGTCCACGAGGAGAAGCATGTAAGATCAACACCTTCTAGGTAACGAAGCTTTCTAAGAATCCCTATAATAAAGCGCAGATAAGAGATTGCACACGAGTGCTACTTAAGCGTTCGTGTCGATGAGAACTCGTGTTCTCACCGACACGAGTCTCAGCCAAACGCTATTCGCGTTCAATCGTGCCCTGGCGCCAGGTGGGTGATAGAAAATCCACGGCCTCGTTATATCAGTAAAGTCGGGCTGCGCCCCCTCTTCCACAAAGTTGCCTATCCAAACGCAAGTGGTATTTTAAGCCAGGACCCGCAATCCAGCTACTAAACACCACAACCCTTACAAAAAAATTGTCTCCACCTTCTACAAATTTTGTACAAAAATAGTGCACAGAAGCTATACATATTTTAAAGAAAATGTACCCACTTTTCTATCCACTGTCTATAACCTTTTGGCCGTTTTTCTGCAGAAATTCTATAGAACTTAATGTATATAGATTGTATAGAAATTGTATAAAAAACGCATCGGGTTTACGAACGTTTCTATCGCCTTTCCATAAGAAACAGAACAGGTTTTCGCGAAAACATAATAAATGCTGATGATTTATTTTAGGCCTGCCAGACACGTCCATGCAAACATGCACTCGCAACTTGACTCGTGCAAATGCGCAGACATCACAAAGACACACGCCACGGAGCACCGATAACCAGAGTGTCGAACCGAAATTTTTATCGGTTCGGTTCCGGTTCGTGTTCACGAATTTCGGTTCAGCTCCGGTTCAGTTCCGGGGAGCGAAAAATAACGGTTCGAACCGGTTTGAACCGGTTCGAACCGGTTCAAACCGCTAAACTGTGCATATGTTTTCCGCGTTTCTTTGGCTATAGGCACTTTTCAGGAGTGAAACGAGTAACTATTTACCTTTTTTTTTTTCATTTGTTGAATCCACTTTTATTTTCAGGTACCAAAAATAAATTGCGTTGTTTCATTTGGATGAAACAGTAAATCAAAAGCTAGATTAACATATAGGACCGAACATCTATTTCTTCTTACCTCAGTCGCATATATTTTACCTGAATCTAAAGGTTATCAGTCTGGTGTGTAGCCTAAAATGCACATGATTAGTAGACCATTGAGTCGCAATATTAAAAGTCGAGCCCTACTGTGCTCTTGTACTTAAAAAATAATTACAGTGCATACAATCATAAAATGGGCACCGTTCTCGCCATATATATCCTGAAATCTAGATTATAAAATACGTTTCACAATATATATGATGACGGTACAACTAAGCTAAAAGCAATAATATTTTCAAAATGTCAGGAAAGCTTTAGCACAAACCCTTTCAGTCTACCTTTTATAGAACACTGAGCGGCAAGCACAACGCTTGCTTTCCTGACTAATATTGTTTTCATTCAGCACCATGACGCAGGCGAATAATTATGCAGAAAAGAGTGACCTTCGTATTCAGCACGGATCTGGCCTAAAATAGAGCGCATTGAAGTGCATATTTTCGACAGAGCTTGGCGTTTGATGTTTGTTCTTGACAAGATGCCGGTCAATTCACTTTGTAAATAAGCATCACCGTTGCTAATTGGTGATTTGTAGTTAAATAGAACAAAATAGTATTTCATAGTCTACTCGACATTACAGCTGCTTAATTGGTCACTTTCTGACGGTCTGCGTGCGCAATCGTCATAGTTCCGCCACGCGCCACTGTGTGCTGTTTTCATCCAGCCCACAGACACATAAAATCGTTGTTCATCAAATAAAAGACGCAACAGACTTCTTATGTTTGAGAAGTTGAATACTCGTCAGGAACACGTGTCATTTAAATCAGCTTCAAAATTAAAAAAAAAATCGCTAAGTTACTTTTCAAATAACTTATGCAAGTGCCTCTCGAGGATAAAAGTGCCCGAAAAGATTTCCAGAGCATATTTCAGGGGATAATGTGTAGGTGCATTAACTTATGATGTATGTCTTTAGGGTGATCGTCCCTTTATCTATGTTGTCAAGTCTTCAGGTAGTAAATAAATATTTGCTATTGTCATCAATCAATTTGACTGTATGGAGTTCACATAACCGCTTGAGACCGACACGGGAGGATGATACTCGAAAATAGCCATCCGTTGAGTCTGCGGAACGGGCTTATTTGTTCGCTCTTTGGCAGTGTGAAACACCGGCTCACGGGAAATGCCAAAAAGAACTGTGTCCTTACGTTATAGATTTGAAGGCAAATACACAAAATGGGCAGAAATAGAGATAATAAATGATATTCTTCTAAATAATGCCATTCAAGACGCCAATTACTGTGAAAAGAAATATATAGGAATGGATGTTTTAAACGTAAACACGTTTGACAGAACTCCGTCTGGTTGGGTCAAAAAGTTGAGAAATACAGACTTTCACAAACCAAGTCCTAAACATTTAGTGGACCGACGTTTCAATTGGACGAGCTCAATAGGTCAAAAGCCGCTTAACCCTTGGCGTGTGTCAACGGACTAGGGCACTTAATAAGAAGTGGGTGAAGCGAACGTCACACCGCAGATAGAAAAGGAGCTGCTGCTCTCCACGTGCAAATAGTCGTGCACTTGTTTTGGGGCCTAATTTTACAACTCAGTGCTTTATCAGTCATGCGCGCTCTAACATTCTATTAGGCTGCAGAACATCATCGCGAGACTGCTATATTGTCACGGGTGGTGACCAAAAATAACAAATAAACAGGAAGAAATAAACGTTTAATGTGGCGAATTGTGCCAGAAATAAAAGAGTACAAAAGGATAATAATAGAGCGTCGCGGGCGTCGAAGTCGGCGTGGCAGCAGAGTCGAGCGCTGGGGCGAGACTGACTCCGCTCGCCTTGCGGAATCCCTTATGTACCCTCGTGGGTTTCTGGATCGTTCGGCGTAGAAGGTTCGGCGCGTGGAACATTCTAACCTCGAATCAGCAAGACGGTTCTCGAATTCACCAGAACCTTACATTACAGTGTCAACAAAAATGCGCCTCCGCGGCCAGGAATCGAACCCTGGCTTTCAGCGTGGGAAGCAAGCGCGATAACCGTTAGGCCACGCGCGCGCTGCCTGCTTGGCCAGCTGCGCGCGCGGCATTACTCCCCCCTTTAAAAAGTGCATCGTCCCGATGCAATCCGAAAACAAATAAAAATAACGGTAAACTAAAGAGTCATTTGAAACACATAAGGTCCACAGTCCTATCGAGCGTAGTACGGCTTCAGTCGCACGACGTGGACGACTTCCGGACGTGGAGGGCGGCGTGACGAAGTCCGTGTTCCGTCGGGCATCACTCTGTAGTTCAGATCCCCGAGTCGACGAAGCACTTTGTAGGGTCCAAAGTATCGTTTCAGCAATTTCTCACTGAGGCCGCGGCGACGGATGGGCGTCCATACCCACACCCTATCTCCGGGCTGGAAGTGGACGTCCCTGCGACGAAGGTTGTAGCGGCCGGCGTCGACGCGTTGCTGGTCTTGAATCAGGAGTCGGGCGAGCTGGCGAACTTCTTCGGCGCGTTGAGCAACCGCCTGGGCGTCGTCGCTCTCGTTGTCAGATGGCTCATGGGGCAGCATGGCGTCCAGCATGGTCGTTACTTTCCGACCATGTACCAGTTTGAAAGGGGTGAATCCAGTGGTCTCTTGAACCGCCGTATTGT